CCATGTCATTAACTTTGAGTCTTTCATAAAAGCAACTCATTACGATTTTTTTATATGCGCAGTTGCCTTCCTTCATTAGAAGGTACTTTATGAATTGTGAATAAAAATATGTCACGAAATCTCACTTCCAGCAGTAACAGTGAATGTTGCAGAGTTCTCTCCATCGGCTGAGTAGAAGACAGCTTTATATTCTCCGGCAAGAGGCTTATCGAAATCCTAAACATTTGATATAAGAAACACCTGGAGCAAAGGCATTTTAGCTGATCTTTAAAACTCTCGTTCGGTGTTATGGGCAAGCGATATACGAGTTCCAAATTAGTTTCGCTATAAAAATAAAAGGCATGAAATAAGCTAAAATAAGTAGTCATCCCCGCACCTTAATTTTTGCCATAGGTTTGGTCTTTTTCGCGTATATGGAATCAAGGAGAACACTACAGCGTAATCGTACGTTAGAAAAATGGAAAAAAAATGTTATAACCTTTCATTATATAATGCAAAACTTCCTAATTCTTTTTAAACAATATGTACATGTGCAACAAAATCTTGATAGTATTGATTTGCTTCAATCTATTCTGCTGGAACTTATAGAACTGCATTGACTCCCAGAAAGTTTAGAAAGGCCCCTGGTGAAGCTTTGCTCAAAAACAAATTTTTTAAGAGGGTGGCCGTGAATTTATTAGTGCTGACGCAATGCCCAGCATCTGGAAGCAGCCTGTTAGTGCGTATCCTTAATAAAAATAAGTATATTGTCGTACGGACCTTGATTTCGCAAACCAACTTCTTCCTGTTGCCACCCTCATCTGAATGGCTAAAAATATAGCATTCATTCTGTTCAAGCTCCTTATCCTGCAGCATCCATTTCGTTTTTGCTGGATCAGCACCAGTTACGACCACCTAAAGTGTATACATTTAATTGTTGATTTATTTCAGAGCACATCATAGATCAGGAGGTGGTCAAAGACACAGCATATCCTCATGAAGGTTGCAAGTGTGCTGAATTTAGATTTCATCTATTACGCCGCGCAGCTCATCTTCTGCCTTTTTTCCAGTTAGCATATTAAAGGCACTATTTTCGATTTTGTGCAGCACAGGTACCATACCTCATTTGCGCAACTCTTTATGCTTCTTTATCTGGGCTTGCCTACGGGGAAGAGATTGTAATG